TTCGGGCGAGCTCCTTCCTTCAGGTAGAGATGTACGGGGGGCCCCTCGATGGCTCCTAGACCGGGCTCGAACAGGTCCTGGAAGTCGCTCAGCAGGGATTCCAAATCCTGGTGGTCTCGGTGAGCGGAAACAGAGGCCACTTCTGCGCCAAGCAAGTTCAACTTGTTGATTACATCCCGGCCACAAAGGCTGGGTCCAAGGCAATCCAACACCACCAGGTTTGCAGGAACCGTGCGGCCCTGGAAAGCAACGTCCAGATGCAGCTCTCCTAAGATGGGCAATTTCCCGAGATAACAATTCAGTCTCAGTTCACTTTTTGCAAGGCTAGGCCAGCGGTTTCGGCACTGAAGATACACGTTCCGAGGAATGACGCAGACAGGAGAGCCAGTGTCTATTTCCATGCTGACGTCAATGCCTCCCCAGCAAAGCTTCTTCCTGACTGGTTGAACCAAACCGACCGTTGCAGCTTGCGACTTGATTGCGTACACCGACGAAATGCACAAGTCATCATCTTCTGCTGACGCGTCCGCCAACAACGACGACATCTGTTCCTTATCAGGTTTCCCGCTTCGCTCCCGATACCCCGTAGCTCGACACTTTCTGGCTAGGTGCCCTTGCTTTCCACAGCGAAAACACGTTTTCGTTTTGTGGCCGCAGTTTTCCCCGGTGTGTGAGGAACTTCCACAGCGCCCACACGCTGCTACCGAAAGGTGCTTCTCCCGCCCGTACACATTTCTTGACGGCTGTTTCACCATTTTGTGTATGGCCCCTTCCTTCGTTTCTGGCCTTTGCATTTGTTCTACTTCGGAATCAGCTGCTTCCGCTGCGGCTGCTACTTCTTCCGCCTCATTCAACGTAAGGTCCCGCCGTGACAGCAACCTTCGCTGGACGTCTCTACTTCTCACACCGCACACAATTCGATCCCGTAGCATCCGGTCAAGGCTCATGCCAAAGTTGCAGTTTTCCGCAATTTTGCGGATCTGCACAACGAACTCTCGTACGCTCTCAGTTGGTTGTTGCACGCGGTTGAAAAATTTATAGCTCTCGGCTATTTCATTGCGCTTAGGCGCGTAGTGCTGCTCTAGGAATTCCACAGCTTCTTCATACGATAACTCGTTCACCTTTCGCGGGGCACAGCTACCACTTAAGACTTCTATCGTATGCGTGCCGAGTGCCGAAACTAGCAGCGCTCTCTTGGTCTTTCCACTGGCAATAGCATTTCCCTCGAAGTATGCTTCAACGCGTACGATGTAGGAGTCCCACTTATCTCTGCTGTCGTCGAAGGCAGGCACTTGAAAGCTGGTCGGCGTCGCCATTGCCCCCGTCTCGGATCTTGAGCAGCCCTTGCCTCCTGCCCGGCGGAGTTCGGCGCCTCGTCGTCACTGTTGTCACTTTGACATCTCGCAGTATGACAGAACCGCGAGGACCAAACAGGCAGGCCGGCTACCAGGGTATGAACGGTTTATTTCGGGCCCGCGTGGAACTATATATAGCGCTCCACGGACCAATGGCAACGCAGTTAATAAAACAAACAAAAGGCGGATAACAGTAAGTCATGCTTCGGTGACTCGGCCGAAGTGATAACAGAATGTAGTTCCAGAAATGAGTAACATTGCCCTATTGGAAAAACGTACAAGTAACAAACCTGCTGCTTGTACAGCTCTGGTATGACACCACCATAATTTCTTTGTGTTACGTATGCAGCTAGTTTGGTTTGTCGTTCTGCATAACTGGAGATACTGGCACCGCTGTGGCTCCGGGTCTGTCTATACTGGCAGCCACTTTGCTTGCCGATATGATTCGGTGTGGCTGGTATGATTTTGCGTCCGATGACGTAGGCGACTGCCGTCTTTCCAACGAAACGCTTATTCCACAGGACCACCGGTATAACCAAATCATACATGCAGAAAAACGACCGCCATCTTCCAACAAAAACGTCCATCGTTCACCACCGCTATCGTTACATACACCATACATGTCGAAAAAGAACATAGCCACGTTTACACGAATGCGACTTAGTCGCATTGAATCCAGTTGCCGCATTCAATATGCGGTCATGTAAACGGCATAATGCGCAAAGCGCATCGCATTTTGGAACGGGGAGGATTATCGGAAGGCGCTCGCTGCGGGAGCGAGTGAACAGCTGAGAACATGGCGGCGGCCAACCTCGTCGGCGGCGCGGAGAGCGGTCCCGCAATTTTTTTTCCGAGAACGCAAGCTTTTATTGCGACCATAAGTAAGCGGAATATAGCGGAGCTGCTCGGTGAGGGCGGCCCCGTCCAAACCTTTGCGAAGTACGACTTGCGCGTCCGAAGGGGTCAGAAAGGCTTCGGTGCAAGCACGAATGACACCGAGAGCTCCGAGCACTGTAGAGCACTGCATGGTAGCGCAGAACGAGCAGCTCCTACCTCGGTGCAGTTCCTGGCTCCGCAAGAGCCTCTCGGACTCGGGGTCCGGTTGGTCTGGTCGCGATCGGCGAGGTCTAGCGCGGCGAAACGCGGAGGCTTCCTCAAAGCGTGCACACACACGTCGCCTCTCGTTCAGAGTGAACCGGCGGGCCGGCCTGGAGTCCTAAACGCCTTCCGTCTCCCAACTTCTTCCACAGCACCGAAGACAGCGGGCACGATCTTTACGTTCACTGAATGCGTCGAAAGGCCTCCACGTGCGATGCACCGGAAAACGTGGTGCGGCTGGTGCCGGAACGGAACTGCATAGCTTCGAGCTTTGAGTCAACGTGCACGGCAACAAACCGATCGTGACACCAAGCCGCGGATACCTCATCACCGGTCGACAGCGGCAAACGGCCCGTTGCTCGTATCGTGGGCCGTGACTCGTACTCGGCCAACTTGGCGTCTTTTCGTGGCCCCTCGCGTCGTCGCAACCAGCCACAAACCCGACAAACCCACCAGCCCGAAACCGTAGCGACCGTAGCCTGAGTTGGAGAAAAGCGAAACCGAAACTTAAAGCTTCCGCCCAGTGGCTTCCGCTGCCGCGGCTTTTCTAACTTCGCGGCTTCCACTTCCGGTCGTCGCGGAGATGGCGAAGATAGAGCGGTGGTGGGGGTCGTTGGCTCGTTTACGGTTACGGGACAGATGTTTTGCGGTCCGTTTCTACTGCGTCTCTGGCTCTCAACTGGACGGCGCCTCTCATAGTTCAACCAGGCGTGGTCAGCCTGCGTCAGGCCGGCTCGACTCGTCCGATCGCCGGACCGCAGGCGACTTCCAAGTACGGCCGTTAGGCCTAGGATCCGAAGGCCTAGGATCCGTGAAGCGGTAAGCGAATCTCGTCCCGTTTTCGTTCTACTTTTAAATTACGTTAGGTGCGCTACAGTATAAGCATGCGTGCCAAGTGTTCGTGACGATTTTGAACTAGAATAATTGTGCTTCATTGCGGTCATCTGCCGAAAATGTAAATCGAGCAATGAACGAGGAGCCATGCTTGAAAACGGTGTATGTCCGATGTTAACTTCTACCTGGGCGGCTAAAAAAAAAAAGACTGGTTACGGTTGTATGCGAGGCTGGTCCCAATGCAATGGTAAGCACTTAGATCGCCTTTCTGAACGGCATGTTAGCAATATAGCGATCAACGAGACGAGCGACGGCGAGAAGCTACGAGAGCCGGCGCCGAGCGCCGAAGATTAATCACTCTCGCTGCTTGCGCCGCTCGGTTCTTGGGCTTCTAGAAAACGTCGCTCAATGCCTTGGTCGCTCGCACCAATCGCTTTCATAATGTGTGTCTCGCCGCGCGGCTGACTGCCGTGTTTATTCAATATAAATCAACCTTTTTTTTTTTTTTTTCTTTTTTTTTCTCGGAAATTGGGACTAAAGAATTTCGGCACCTACATTCGCGACCAAATTTTGCGACCCTACCGGAGGCATGAAGCTATCGAGTCACCGAGCCGGCGTTGCCGTAGAGCCGCGCCGCTTCTTGTTTCAAAAAGCTTTTGGTTGCCGAAATGGCTCGCCGCCCGCGGTGGCCGGTCGGGCGTCGGATTTCGACATCGCGCCTCTAGCGTTCCCCTTGCTGGGCAACGGGTAAGGAGAGGAACGCGATGCGCCGTGCACTTTACCCTCCATCCTCGCAAACGCGCACAAAAAAAAAAAAAAAAAATGTTATTTTTGTTAGTTGCTTGAGGCGGCTCGGCTCGCGTGTTGCTCATGGCGACACGGCGGCTTTGCTTGCGTCTTTGTAGTTTGTCTTCCGTCGCTTCGCACCTTCTTTCCTTTCCTGTCGTCATTTTACAACGGTGTCAGTGAAGTATTGCTGCGAATTTGCGAGGATGTCTACCCAGCTGACGAAGCTTGGGACAATGATAACATGTCCAGAAGTTCTGACGGTGATGAAGTTTTTGGCATCGCCCCGTGATTTAGCTGAGAGTGATGTAAATAAACGTTTTTTTTCTTTCTTTTGCCCAAAATTTCCCCTGTTCTTAAAAATAAAAAAAAAGGTCGACCTATATTTGAATTTGTTTTTGTTTTTTTTTGTTCTTGGTGGATCCAATAAATAGGGTTCGACCTATTTTCGAGTAAATACGGTAACTTTAATTATTATTTTGGGTTACGTCGGACGCAACTCGAATGCTTGACAGTTACGTTGGGCGTAACTTTAATTTTTATTTCGGGTTCCGTCGGACGTGACGTTAGACACTCCGTTACACTTAAGGAAAATAGGGGCTGCTGCCCTATTGAAAAAACCAGCTTAAGCTGGTTAAGCTGGTCCCAGCTTCAAGCTGGGTTATTGCCCCAGCATGCCCAGCTTGGCATGGTGGTTAATCTGGTCATGCTGGGACCAGCTTGGCAAGCTGGTCCCAGCTTGGCAAGCTGGTCCCAGCTTGGCATGCTGGTCATGCTGGTTGATCTGGTCATGGTGGGTGATCTGGTCACACTGGGTAGATCACCTAGCATGACCAGATGGTTCAATGATTTGTCATGCTGAGGGAATTGGCTGAACAAACCAGTTTAGCCATTCAACCAGCTGAAATAAATACACAGGTAAACAAGTTATGCCTAAATGCCTCGAGGAACATTTATTGAGAGGATGGAGGCTTGGGTGTAAATCTTGTGTGCTGTTTCACCCAAGCATGCACATTTATTCTTTGGGTGCCGGTGGTTCCCTCCTTCTTGTGCCTTGTCTTGCGTTGTCGGGCAGGAACTCCTTTAAAACCTCCCGCACAATCTTCTGAAGTTCGGGGCCCGTGTGCCGAGCTTCGGTGGGTTTGGCTCCCTCGTAGTACATGAGACCATCTGGGGAAATTTTAAATAGATGTGTGTTAGATGGGCAATAAAACAAGCAATAAAATGGCTAGGTGGGCTAGTTAATTAGTGCATGATTTGAATGGAAAAGCGCCTAAAAAGCGTGGACACAAGAGAAGGATGGACAGCACGGAGTGCTACCTTACAATTGAACATGTTTGTGTTGTTATAAGTTAGCGCTTGGTCCTGTCCATCCCTTTCACCTGCTTTTTGAGGTGCTTTAGTCAAATAAAGTAAGCTCCAAGATTTCCTCTTGTTGGCTCATCAAACGTTTCTGAAGACAGTGCGTATGTCACGTTCACCGTACAGTTTTTCTGCATACAAGTGTTTCAAACTACCAAAATTATTAAGAACTTTGTGTTTTACTTTTCAGGAAGTATGATCCAAGAGCGACAGAAATATAACTTATACAAACAAAAGGGCAAGGACAGTGAGCTGTGGGTGAGGTCATAACATAATAAAATTTCAGAGAGGTCGGTGAAAAGGCCAATGTCAAAACACTACCTGCTTCCCTCCCCTATCGCACAAGTGCAATAGTGGAAGTGATTGACACATTGTTTCAGTTTTATGTTAATTAACACTGATCCCAAACTCCCGTAGTGATAGGTGTATCAATTTCTATTTAATCTGTTTGCTTTCCCTAAAGTAAAATGTACAATATTATGCGGTCGATTTGATGTGTTGGATCATTGCTGCCCCTTATTCTGCTCTGCTGCCCCTTTTCTCACCTCTTTGCACTGACTATGCCATGACGCTCGATGCAAGCTTTTTACTGCTGCGCTCAGTTTTGCTTGCTTTCCCATCCTATTACTGGTTTAACTTTTCTTGTGATCCCAACTTTTTAACCAAGCAGAAGCACAGTGTACAGTTCCCCTCATACTAGCATGCATGTGGAGCTTCACTACTCTGCACTCATGTGCCAGGAGCAGTACTTGACGGGGGTCAACATCTGGGTCAGCTCAATGGTCTCTAAAGTTTTGCTCACTATTAAAAGCTGCCATGTGTAAGTTGCAACTGAAAATTAATTGCTAACTTTAAATAACATTTCTGAAAAACAAACACTCGGCAAATATTGCAATAACCATAAACTTCACCAAGGCTGTGAAATTCTATCTGAAACCAGCTGCAGTCATAATTGCTTCCTCTCATTTATAAGCCTCCCAACGCTTAATTGGCTGTCACTTTTCCCTAAAAAATCTCGTCAACCAATTCTACTGTATTTCATTGAACTCGCTTAAATTGCAAAGTAACTCAAAAGGATACCAAAAATGGTATAAACTTAAAATTATAAGAAATCTCCAGGAAGTAGAGATACCGTAATAATCAAGACATGGAAATAATCCTTCCATTTCTGTAAATCATCTACTACCGTGCATGCACTACATTGCATGACCCTGTTAGCGAGAACACCGAATCAGCAGCTTTTTCCATTACGTTAAAAGCAGAATGATGGGCAGAAAACTTTACCACTTAGGTTAGTTCTCCAAATTAGCTCCTTTTACCATGCCAGTATGACAATCACAAATCACAAATTCATTAAAAAAAATTATGGCAATCCTTTTTTCTTTTTTTGCGTTAGCAGAATGATGGACAAAGCCCCAATTCCTAGGAAAAAAAATTAAAATATGGTAATCTGTTGCTTGCATTAGCAGTGTCATGCTTGTACTTAATTATTTCAAAAAAATATTTTAAACAAATTTCAAATCTTGCGGAGCATCTTCAGTCGCCTTTGCATGAGCTGTTCAAGGACAAGCTTTCTCACTTACTTGCAAGGGCCAGCAGTTTCATTGGGGTTACCGGCAGCTTCCCCTTTGCCCCATCCTTCAACTGACTCCGGCAGGGGGCACCGGTCACACTTCTCGCGCACATCTCTTCGTGAGTATAAATACACCTGCACAAATCTTTCACATATCGTTTGGGAGGGAGTCTGTCTACTAAATCATCAATCTTTAGCTTCGAAAGCTTTATCTTGCCACCGAGGTGTACCTGCAATGAAAAATCATTCGCTTAGTCATGAAAGTCTAACGACTTTCAAAGGTTTTGTGCGTGCTTCCCTCCTTGCCCGCACATCATCTGCTCACGCTCGGTTCGGTCATTCTGGGATTCTGGATAATGACAACTTAGCCACCTGAGCACTTTGCCGCGTACAGCATATTTTTTATATTTAAGCTTTTTCGGCATGCTTAACCTATCCACTGCAGCTTCTCATTGTTTCCTCCATATATATTGTGAATGCATTAATGGAGCCTTGCAATAAATCTTGATCAAGATTGAAGTTTCACTAAAACTGACCTCACAAAACATAGGAACCAAGATAAACCAAAATTTTCCCGAAAATCACAATATTTAAAAAAAATATTGGCAAACTAAAATTAAAAAAAAAAAAAAAATTCCTTCTCAATGTTGACAGTGGTACGCCAACGGCAGGAGTGAATCCCCATGAAGCTTGTCTTCGGAGAGTTGTCGGTCCACAACAGGCTCATTCAGTCGAGCGTACCGACGTCACATATGCACCAAACCAGACCGCTAGACTTCACTGTACACACAACAGCAGGTTCGAATAGCCGAAATCCAGATTTCGTAGTAAACACACTCTTCTCGGATGCCACTAGTCCTCCCGAGACTCCTAAAGGCCCGTTCACACTCTTGCGACCGAGTAAGACCCAGTAAGACGTCTTAGAACAGGATACGCTACAGCGGAGCTGGTCCTAAGATGTCGCAAGAGGATTAAAGACCGGTCTGGTCTCTCTCGGTCGTACTCGGTTGCAAATGTGTGAACGGCTCTTAACACTCTCGACCAGTGTGACTAGTGAACCCACTTGCAGCGACTCCAATTGATGAGCATTCAGTTTACTTTCAAACGTGACTGTGAATGAGAATATTTTATAGCATTAACTTAGTACTTTGTAACAGCAAGAAGCTTCTAAAGGCATAAAAAAGTTTACAATGATGCAACACAAAATGCTAACAATAGAACAATGTGGTTGCCTACCATGCCATCTTCCTCAGAAAAAGCCGGTGGTGTGGGATCTTCCCTGTCCAAAACAGGCACTGGCAGCTGAAGTCCTGTAACACAGATGTTATCTTAAGTAAGACGGAACAGCATTACCGTGGGATACACTTGATAACCGAGTACACTATGTATTGTCCCCAATTGCATTAGAGCACCCATTCAAGTAATAAGATATATAATTAACAAGCGCTTACTTTTATATGTATCGTAATATACCAAGGAAATGCCCATTCCTTTTTTGACAAAAAATGGGTTGAACTATACTGTTAGTAGGAAAGCACAAAATAAATAAGGACGAATTTGACATAGATGAAGCACTCTCAACTGAAGGTTTACCATATTTACCAAATACCATATTTTCGCGATTCTAAGCACCCCCCCCCACCCCCCCCCCCCCCCCCACCTTTTCCAAACGAGACGCCTGAAAAAAAGTTTGTATGCGAATGTAAGCACCCCCATCCCATGCAAGAAATTTGAGAGCGGCGATGCCGGTATCATCTTGTTATCCATTAAGCTCGAGCGCCGGAGTCGCGAACGGTCGCTAGCGCTTGGTTTCAACATCACTTAATGGATGGCAGTGTTTGTCGGCGTTCGTCTCGCAATCATACTCTGTTCACTGCGCATTTGTGGTTTGCGGAAATCCTCCACCATCAGTGTGAAGAGAATTTTATACACGATGAAGTTGAAGCAAACGGTTATTTCTTATGCGGAGGATAGTGGAAATCATGACACTGCTGAACACTTCAAACTGGACAGAGCAGGTGTGATTTGGTGGAGGAGAGGGTGGAATCTGATCTTCAAGAGTGCCGTGACCCACAAAAAGTTTACGGAACCGCGCAGCTGCCAACACCTGGAGCTCAAGATCCGAAACCGAAACCATGCCACTCCACTCCGTCGCCAACTGATTCCAAAAATTGCATGCAAAATCTAATTGTCGAGCATACGACAAAGAACAGTCCAGCAGCCCGTGCTTGCCAAGCCGGCAAATGAGGTGCCACGTGCTTGCCAGGCCGGCAAACAAAATACAAGCTAAGCACACACACACACACAAAAAAAGAACCTGAGCGCATAGATGCAATACTTCGCAAGCCAGGGTCAAGACGGAGCGTTTTGTGCAACGACTGAACTCGCGACAAACAAGCGCGCTATGAGGGTTCAGCGTGCACACTTTGCCTTCTTTGCTTTAGCTCACTTCTCTTCACCCACTTTCTTTTGCGGTACATTTTATACGAAAGAAAGCCCACCGACAGAAACCTAGGTAATCAATACTTTGACACAGCAGTAGGAACGGATATTTAAACAAGGACAGGAATGTTGATGAACATGTGTCGGCACTTAATTTCATTTTAGAAGCTGTCATATCTGCAGCGAGGTGGGGACGGCAACACCCGACGTCGCACGGCCGCGGTGACTGAAAGGCAGTTAGAAAAATATAGTTTTCCCACGACCCTTGCTTTGATAAACGAGTGCTCCAGCTCACAAAATAACTCCCGCCGCAAAAAAATAAAATGTTTTGTTTTACAGCATGTGGCATGGCTGCTACCCAGCACGCACGCTAGTGTCAGAGCGTCCGCATACACCTGCGTCTATCGTGAAAATATTTATAAAAAAAAGAGGCGAGACGAGACCAACAAAACCACGAGAGCGCGAGACGGCAGGAAAACCATGCAAGACCGGATGGACAATTGATGCAGGGGGCTTTGTGTCGGGCATCTGCTTGCGCCATATAACACATGCATGCTCAATTACAGTACTCGGTTTAGTTTCGGTATTGAGAGGCAACCGAAATTGGTTTCTTGGTACAAGCATAGTGTAGATTACCCATATTTTGGCAAAATGTAGCGGGATGGAGCAAGGTTAGCCCCTTGGAGTAGTTTGGTGCAATGGTTAACTGTCTTCCTATAGTATTCACAAATGCATTTTGATATACCCTTTACCCTCCTCCCCCCCCCCCCCCCCCCTAGAAGTCAGGTCATCCTTTCTTCATTTGTGCACTCACCTTGTTGTTGACCGACTGGCGGGACGTCAGCCACTGGCAAGAGAGCTGCGGGAGGAGTCGGCACAGTCTGCACTCTCTCAGCAGGACATGTTGGCACTTGGTTTGCTGGCAATGGACAAAACAAGGAACTTGCAATGACAGTATGTGGGACAAGGCACCATATTTTAGAATGCCAGCACCAAATAAAAAGGCTCAACCTCCCTGCCATTCATCAATATCCAATGATGCTTACTGTAGAATCCTTCACTGCCCCTCTCCTACCCTGCAAGTCAGTTTATTTTCTGTATTTGTGGCACTCACCCAGTACTTGGTCAACTGGCGGTACCAGAGCTTGATCCACTAGTACTTTAGCAGGCAACGCACGCTGTGTAGATGGGCATCCTGGAGACATAAAAGAAAGATGTGTTACAGGCGAGCACAATGATCAATCGCTGCCTTGTAGGGTAGTATTTGAGAGACGTGAGACCCACTTTTCAATTTAGAAGATTGAAAAGAAATAATCTGGCCAGGCAAATATTGTAAAATACTTCCTTTTTGTAATGCACCGAAGTATTGAATGCACTCTCAAATTGAGTATATAAAAGAATTGATTTTTGTTTCCCTGTGTATTTATTGCATCCGGAATATGCAAAGGAAGCAACAAGAAGTTAGAGAGAAAGCAGTACGAGACAAAGTGCCCAGTCGGCTTGGGCAAGAAGACGTTGACTCAAAATTACCAAGAACACGGCACGCAAAAGCCCAGAGTCGCCGACAACAAGCAGACAATGCAAGGCAGAGGACGCACGGGTGAAGGGGAAAGCATGCACAGAGCAAAGGTTCGCTCGTTGCCGAGATGCACAACTATGAGAGCATGTGCTTCAATGGCATGCCTCGCGGAACAACCAAGCCGTGAAAGTGACTGGGCGTGTTCCGTATTTAGACATTCTGCATACTTTTTAATCACGTGCTTCACAGAGCCGGCCCAAGTGATTAGGGTAGCTGAAGCAGGCTGTCATGTTACAGATACGTGATCAGCAGAGTCAGAAAGGGAAAGAAATAATATTCTGGATACACCCAAGATCTCGGCAAACAGCCATGACATCAGGCAAGGGGTTCTTCAAATTTATGCAGTTTCGGTTGCATTTTCAGTCCACATCTTCTTTGTTAATGATTTGACGCTACTTAGGAACCCAGCACAGTAAGAAAAATCTTAGCTTCATTTTCCTTACCATAAAGGGTAGTAACAGGAACTTTCACAAACCATACCTAATTTCTGTGTTTATCTTTCAAAGTTGCCACACATAGCTGTCACGCACCCCAGGAAGCAGCTTCATTTTCGGGCAAAATAAAGATGATAATTATGTGAATAACCATGGTATATTTTCTTTGAGCATACTGGAGGGTTATGCTCAAGTAGAGACCTGCTGGAAAGGCACCCTGCTTGGCGAACGCAACTGCCATTTTTTTATTTGGGGAGAATTGTGCCGATTGCAGGAGCCTTTCTGGGAGCCTCCGTTTCCCAGAGATGCTTATATGGTGTAATTTGAGTAGCAACATCAGTCTTCTGATCTTGCTAAAAGCTTGTCACGGCTGCAAACTGCCGTGAATGCAATCTATGTGTTTCACTTATCCTACAGTAGACTGACATTTTGCAGAGCATTTCTTTCTCTCACTCCTCAGAGCCATCCATGGCTAGCAATGAACAAGGCAAACAAAAACAAAATAAAGAAAAGCAGTTAAAACTTGCCTGTGCCAGAAGTTGAAGGCACTGAAACTGGGCCGCAGTGAACATCCTTCATTGGATAGGGTGCATTCTCTAAATAGAAGGAGATGCACAGATGGATGTAAGAAAAAATGGAGTGGCCTATCAACATTACCAAGCAACTCACCCCACTCAAGGAATGGTGACTCATAAAAGGGAAGCCCCTCATCGGAGGTAGTGGCTGTGTCTCTACTCTCTCCTGCGGCAACTACTGAAAAATGAAGTTTGAATTGAACCAGAAGGCAAGCAGTAAAAACTATATTCCTTTCAAAGTTTTCGTTAACTATGAGAGGGGGAAACATACACACCAATTTTTGTGGCCAGGGCCTGAGCCAGCTGCCGACTGTGGCTCCTTTCTTTGGCCAGTTCTTTTTTTAGTTCTTTTATAACTTCCTCTTTTTCCCTGAGGACAGTGATGGGTACCATGTCACTCTGGTAGCGGCTGGGTGTCTCCGTCTGCTTGATCTGGGCAAAAACGTGTGTGTTTGCTGACTTTAATCAACTGCCTAAATAATTAAACCTGTATGGCTGTGGCTAGAATTCCGTCCAGACAAAACGATAGTCACCGCTAGAGTTCCGTCTAAACTGCCAATGTCCAGTCTCCGAAGTGATCTTCGTAGGGCTTTTTATTCAGTGTCGATGAAACGTGCGTGTCAACCTAACCGGTCCACCTCTTTACGCTGCTTCGCAGCAACAGTATGTGGCGGCTCATTACAAAAATGTAACTCCCCTGACCCACCTTACACGCCGCTTTGCGGCAGCAGTACCCCCGTTGCTCAGTTTATAGTTCCGCTTCGACGGAACTCTACACTGTTTGCTATCATTCCTTCAGTGCAGACAGAACTTCAGTGGCGACTATTGTTCCATCTGGAAGGAACTCTAGACACTTCCAACTTATATTGGCGCAATTTCATACCTTCTGCTTTTTCCTGAAATCAGCGGCAATGTCATGCAGCCTTGTTTTCTTTCCGATTTCCTTTTGTTTTCTCTTCTCCTTGTGACCGAGGTCTTGGACTTTCTGAATGCAAAGAGAAGGAATCTAAAATTTATACAACTCAACCGCTAACAGCCCCAGACAAAATATCAAGGCTCGCTCAGTAAGGAAGTAAGGTTTGTAATCGCTAAAAAAAAAGGAAGTGGATATTCTGCCGGCAGGGGACACAATAACCTGGGAAAAGAATGCCGGCAGTTGTCCCCTATTGGGTCTCATATAAAACTAATTGAGAAAACGGCTATTTGAAGCTGTGGAGTAGCTTACTGGTAAGGTGTCTATCTCACACATATTGGGACCCTGGTTCAATTGCAGTGTGGGCTTATTTTTTCTTTTTCTCAAACTTTTTTTTTTTGGTGGGGGGGGGGGGGGGGGCTTTTGCAATATTTACCGCATTTTTTTTCTTTTCTTTTTATTAACACAGGAAAAATGTAATGTTGGAAATGAAACTTCGCTGAATTAAATGGTATAGCACTGCACCCTTCCCGGGGGTAAATGAAAAACAGCCCGGGGAAAAAAAAATGCCGCCAGTTTCGGACGGCGCGTGTATCACTGGGGAGCGGACGGCGTGTTTATCACTCGAACGGCGCATGTATCACAGTCTGCAGCTGCTCATTAGAAAAATATTAACACTATTGGCCCACCTGTCCACCGGCAGTACAAGTATCGCTGTCCTCCATTCACCCCAGGAAAGGCAGTCCCATTCCATTTAACTCAGCGAAGTTTCGTCGACAACATTAGATTTTTCAGTGTTAATTGTAAAAAAGAAATGCTGCAGATATCGTCAAATGCCTAAAAAAAAGCATCATATAATCCCTCATTGACAATTGACTCAGGGTCCTGCTGCGTACGAGACAGACACCTTATCAGTGAGCTACTCTACAGCTTCAAATAGTCTTCATAATTTGTTTTATACGAGACCCAATAGGGGGCAGCTGCCGGTATTTTTTTCCCCCTAGTTATTATGCCGGCAGACCGCAGGATAATCCACTTCAAAAAATAATAAACCGAGCTGATTTCATTAAAAAGGTGCCATTTGTTTTTTACTGTTAAAAAAAATGCTGACTACAACAAGCTACTATGAGCAAATATTAAAAAAAAGTGTAATAGTAATTATTCATAAATAAAATTGTTAAGTTTGACCCCTTTCTTTGCAGTGCCTAGAGTGCCGTCTAACGGCTCTCCACAGGATAGTTCAAGTGGCACCCAAAGTCTTTACAGGGGCAGTGCGCCGTCACATTCTGCGAATTGCAGAGGCCACTGCCTCTGTAGACTGAACTTCGCTGATTCAAATTTTGTCAACATTCCAAGCACTAGCAGTCGGAGAGCTCTGATGAGCGGAAATTTAGGGGCAAGGTCAGAACGCTTTCCAACACAAACCACACTTCTATTGCAATATATGACCTATCAGAGGCTTACCACTGCTTTATCTTACCATTAGGTGCAGATCAAGCAATGTTGCGGTAGTGAGGTATATTATTCTTTGTATTGCGATGCAGGGCCGCAGAAGTTGGAGACAAAAATAAAAAAATCCTTTTGAAAATAAAAATCTACTTGTGATATGCAATATTGAACCTGGACTTCCATAAAGTAAAACACATTGCTTGCTCAGCCTGCTAACCACTGCACCGCCACAGCGAGCTAAATATGTCATTTTTGGGGGTTTCTGATATCATTTTCAATGCACGAAAATAAAATCCGAAATAACTATGGTTAGTTTATCAGGAAAGAAAGAGATCATGTAAGCGTGCTAATTTCGGCTGAACTACACTAAAATATGATGTTAATCGCTAAACGAAGGCACTTGAACGCTCCATAGCAGTACTTGTCGGGCAGCACTTGAACACTTGGTTGGAGCGCCGTAAAACAGCACTCTAAAAATGCGATTGCTTTTTTTTAAGGCTTGAACTGTTTTTCGAGTGGATGTGTTGGATTATCTCTATCGGATAATGAATCTTTACAATTGGTTCAAGGAAAAGTGGCACAGCAAGGCAAAACTTGCCTTTCCTACTGGTCCTACGAGCTTTGCTGTTCCACCGACAATCCTTGGAATGGGGTACCGTTTTGTCTGCATTTTCTTCAGGAGGTCATCCACAGACTCTGCGGAATATATATACATATATTAAACATAAATCTGATTTTTTAAACATGCTTTTTTCCAAAAAGATAAAATAAATATGAACCGAATTTTGTAAATATCAGTTTAGTTGACATGTCGCAAAATACCAGGAAAGCTATGATCTGTGCGTGAGCGCGGCAGGACCGAGCGCGAGAACTTTACTTGTCATACGAGTGGACAAAAAAAAACAATAAAAATTCTAACTCTGGTAAGCCTTTTTTTTTTTTTCTCTTTTTGGCAGTCGCGGCCCGACAGGCGTAGCTTAGCCGAGTGACGAAACGGGTCTCTTAGTTGTGCGGATCAAGCATATCTGACCAAGCTCGCACCCCAAAAGATGCCTCCATTCCCTAGGAAAAAAAAACAACAAAAAAACTTACCGCCCAGAAGGAGCACGTGAGCATGAGCGTGACCAGAAGGAGCACGTGACCCAGTAGGCCTCGTATATCCGGGTGGCGTCGAAGTCTTCGTCATTTCGGGGCGAGAAGCTTCTGATCAAAGACGTTGGCAATATCAGCTGCCAACCGTCCGTAAATTTTACATATGCGTGCATCTACTCTACAGCCTCCTATCTTAGAAAAAGAACACAAACCACCGAAACACGTTGAAGAAAGAGCAAGCAGAGCAGCAGAGATCGATACACGACACAGAAGCAGAACCAGCGAACGTGATGCGTTCGGTTTGTGCCGAAAGACATATGTAATCGTTCTCAGTAAGGGCACGTGAAAGCAACTCTCAGTCACCCCCTCCTGAGTCACGCCCGCCCGCACCGCCACTCACACTCACAAAAGATATTGGCATTATCCGAACGGAGTGGGTGGGGTCCCTGCACCGACGTCACAACACAGCGCCGTTCCGCCATCGCTACGTACTTTTCGAACGCACCTTGCGCCTGCGGCTTTCGTTTTGGTGTGGCGGCGTTGTCTTGGTAAAGCGCCGGAGTTTGAGCGGTCGTGGACTCGGGCGTTGCTCGGACGCTGCTACACGGAGCCCAACGCCTAAGTGTTATTCGGGTGTAGCCGCTGCCTTGGCCGAAAGCTGGCAGATCGAAGCCAGGAAGGCTGCAACAGAATTAACTGCTGGGCTGCAAGAACGCAAAAAGATACGGACAAGTAGAAGAACAGGACAGGACAGGCTCTGTCCTGTCCTGTTCTTCTTTTGCGCTCTTATCCTCTATGAGGCTGCAACTCAGGGTCACAAGGGTGCCTACATGTTTCCGGTGCGGCGGGCACATGTAGGCACCCTAAATCGAATGAGCTCGAGAAACACTGCCTCCGCGCATACACGGCGTAGCAGACGACGCGCCAACATGGGCTGCGTTCAATGTCTTGAATCCGCATTACTTAGGCGGGTCGTGTCACGTGACAACACAGGTTGTAAAGCGCTGAATGCGGGTAAGTTTGGGAACGCCAAGGTACCAAGCACTTATCCTGGGGCCTGGAGTAAGGTCGAGTAAATTTTGGAACACGGCACACGGCCATGCCGACGAGGCTACGAATCGAATCTGACGTCAGGTGTAAAAGCCAAACAACCCACATAAAAAAAAAATAAAAAAAAAAAGCAATGAGGAAAAAAAAGTTGTTAGCAGTGTGACAGTAATAGCAATAAATAATATTTATTTCTACTAATGACGGCCGTAGTGCTTCAGAAAGGCGGAACAAGACAACAATAAACGGGACGCATTCGAGTCGCGAAGGAAGAAAACAAATGCAATGCGCTCTTCGGGAAGGCACGTGACCGTAACCTCCAGTCACCCTTCTCCTAAACGTGTCAGCACTCACAGAAATCTTTTGGTGGCGTTTTTTGAACGAAGGAGGTGACTGTAGTTGACTCTTTTCTCTGAAATCCGGAACTCCGGAAGACTACTTCAAATCATTGGGTGTTCGCGAGTCGCGACGTTCTTTGCGGCGGAGGGATTTTTTTTTATTTAGCGGTCATCAAACATCTAGCCAATCCTTGTGCTTGTGGGCTTGTGTGTAAGTCCGGCAGACTTCTTGACTGATATCCTTCGTATTCTACGTTTGGCGACCGAAATATTTATGACATGGCTACTCCTGGCAAACGACGAAAGCGGTACCTAGACGCAGACCAGCCTTACCTCATCCCGGTATCAACCTTACGTTTCCAGAAGACGCTTGTGGGTCAGGGGGCTAACGCTGGCACCTCTGTAGTTACGGAACCGCTTGACGGCGACGAAGGTAGAGAGAACGGAGGTTACCGTAGTGACCCTCTAGGTACTGACGAAGACGACATCCAAGACTGCCACGGAGCCTACCGTGATGACCCTGTAGATACTGACGAAGATGACGCCGAAGACTGCCACGGAGCCTACCGTGATGACCCTGTAGATACTGACGAAGATGACGCCCAAGACTGCCATGGAGTCGACGTCGGAGATGTCTCCACCGACAGTGAGCATGCATCGCAAGACCAAGCTGATGACGGAGGGGACAGCACTGATGATGAACACCCTGACGGCGAGGTGTCGAGAGAGAAGTCTCTCGAAGAAGCCGTGATCTCTGAAGACGACGACGACGAGGAGATGGGACCTGGGTCCATCGAAGATCTCTTGACCCTGTGCGTGGAAGAGTTTGGTGCTAGTATGCTGCCGCATTCACCAACGTCGAAAGCTGGCGCCATCGCGATGGTTATATCGTATGCCGTTTCGGAGAGATCGACGTGGGCCGGGCTCGGCAAGCTATTGACACTTGTGAATGCCTTGTTTGGCAGCGCAGTTCTGCCGACAAGTATCTACAAGCTGAGGAAGCTGTGGACGAAAAAAAAGGAAAACTTGGTGAAGTACCATTATCTGTGCCCATGCTGTGACACGGTCCTCAACTCAAGCGATTCGATTGCACGATGCGATGTGTGCAATTTTGAGGAGTCCACTGAGAAGCTAAGACATGGTGGGTCATATTTCTTGATGCTCGACCTCCACAAGCAGCTCAAGCACCTAATTGGAAAAACAAGTGTCGAGCTTCATCATTCGCTGTCAATGCTAGCACTCAATGACTCTGATTTGATTACGGACATTACAACAGCCGAAGCTTGTAAGCACTTGCGCCAAGAGCTTGCCTTAGGTCCGAGTGACCTAACAATCACGTTCAACACTGATGGGAGCCCCATCTTCAAATCCTCGAAGACGTCAGTGTGGCCGATTCAATTTACAGTAAATGAACTACCCCCTGCAGTGCGCTTGCACCACCCTACATTGGCTGGACTCTGGTTTGGGAAGCGCCATCCAGACATGTCGGTTTTTCTGACCAAGTTTGTGGAGGAAGTCAACACTATGGCCCCTGTGACATGGATCCATGGAGATCAGCAGCTCACTTCAAAAGCCTTTGTACTGTGCTGCAGCGTTGATACCCCTGCCCGTGCTGCCGTGCAAAACATGGTCTCTTTCAATGGGTTCTTCGGCTGCCCATATTGCTTGATGAAAGGCGAGCACGAGGAAGGTACATATAATTTTCATTCTTTTGCAGATATACACTTTTGCCTGCTAATCAAGGAAGATATCATTGATCAGGTCGCAATGGTTGATCAGTTAAATACTTTGCTTTCTTTTTGCAGGATGCGTGCGCTATGTCGCCGATGAAGCCCCAATTCCGAGGACATCGGAGCTTGTTGTTCGAGACATGGAGCTCGCCCAGAGGCTGGGGAGCCCTGTAAATGGTATCAAGGGTCCATCACCTCTCATGAACCTTGAAGGTAATTTGTGTGTGTGGAATGTGTCATGTCAAAACCTACCTGACATCGTTTTTGCTCAGGTTTCGACTTGGTTGCTGGCATGAGCGTGGAATACATGCATTGTGTTCTGCAAGGGGTGGTGCGACAAGTCACGGAGCTCCTCTTTTCATCGACAAGCTCACGACAGGCATACTACATCGGTAACCGTTTTAACGTGTCTGTTACAATGCCATAGCATGCACGAAACAAAAACCTTAGAGTTTGTCATTGTCAAACAGCATTCAATCATGTGTCACCATCTGGCAGCTAGGAAAATTGATAGATGATGTGCAAGCCTTTTGCAAGGTTGTTAATGCCCGGGTATTTAATTCTTGCCTCATCTATTAGCTCATTCACATGGGAATTCCAAATGATATTGTCACAATGAATGAATGGCCGAACTTCCTCTCCAAGCGCGCTTGTTGCCACGGACGTCATTGCCGAGAATCGAGTGATTGCTTGAAATTTTCCAAACGCTCGGCAACTGCGCAATGCGCACTTGTAGAGATGTGTAGTTTGCACGGTCGCCGAGTGTTTGAAAAGTTGGAAGCAATCGCTCAATTCTGAGCAATGACGTCCGCGGCAACGAGCGCACTTGTAGAGAAAGTTGAGCAGTAGATGCACCCCGGCAGAGCATTCTTTGCCCTGAGAACGTTTCTGTTAGTCCTCTCGTCACCTTCATTCGTGGCATTTCTGGTGGAGGTGCAGGGTACTTATCCTCGTACCACTCACATGCCAAGTAAGACTGATTCAACAAGGTTGTGGGCCGCTTCGAGCGTCGCGGGCTCAGGGCGAGAATGAACAGGCACTTTCTAGAACGAGAAACAAAGATGAAACGGTAAAAGTTACGCCTCGAGTAGAATACACGGGAATCTTTTAGAACTATGTGACAGAGTGTTGTTTGCTCGGCCCTCAGCGCGGCAATATTGTGCCGAATGACAGTTTATAATAGACAAACCAGTGCCTGCCGCTGCCAAGCATGACACCCCAAACTGGGATCGCGAGCTGATTTCAAGATTTCTCAAATGTCATTCGTGCTTACTCCCATTTAACCTGTCATCTAGCAGTATCAGCAGTCCATTTGTGTCCCTAGACATGAATGCGGTCTTTAAGAAAGGTTTCCGTCGATCTACTGCTCATTGCCGACGCCGCTTGGTAACCGAGAAAACAATGCTACCAGGCGGCTTTTTTTTTTATGTTTAATTTTGTTAAAGGGATGCTGAACCGAAATTTTGGGTGGAAATTCTTGGTCGCAATGGCATACATAGCATGTCCTTTACTTCTAAATGGCGTTGTTTTGAGCGAGGAGGCGTATAAAATTGAATAAACACGAAAAATACAATTTTACGCGACCCCTGGTGAGCGTCGTGGAAAACTCGCTTCGTGACGTGCGCATTCTCATTCGCCTCAAAAGACAGACTGAGCCAAGCCAAGCCAGGCGCTAAGTCGGGTGGCGTTTGTTATTGTTAGTACCACGCGGGCTCCTGGAGTGATCATGTGCCTCCGCCGCACCCCCTTGACATGCGCTGTGCCTGTGAGCGACTCGGCTGACTCTTCCCACTCCCGGAATGATCGCGTACCTCCGCCGCCCTCCCTGACGTCCGCCGAGCCTGAGAATGACTCGGATGTCTCTGCCCCGACTCTGCAGTGACCGCGTGCCTCCGCCGCGCACCCCGCGCCGGAGCCCCATCCGCGTGCCCGCCCGCGTGTGCCCGTGAATTCTGTGTCCTCGGCCCCCCCTCCCCCCCCCTCTCGCATCCGGAAGACCGCTTCCCGACCTCTATCTAATCTCATTTCTTTCTGCTCATCTTTCACTCCCATTCCCCCTCCCCCCAAAGATAGTTAGCACGACTCCCATTCGAGTGAGTCTACAGGACTATCTCTTCCTTTCCAAACTCCTCCTCTCTCTCTCTGTCTGCTCTGCCCGCGTGGTACTAGTCCCAGCCGCTTTGAGAACAGCCGCCGAGCGAAGAATCAAGGCGAGCACCAACGAACGAGGAGAATGCGGGGAGGCGCCAGGGGCGCTGGGGGCGCCGAGAATGCGCACGTCAGTTCCGCTACGCCTGCTCTCAGAAGGACTCGCTCGCGCCGGCGGCTTCCGGCCGAGGATTCGCTCTTAATTCAAAGAAATACAATAATTCGGGCCCCATCCGTCGGATTCAATATCGTTCTTAGGTACAGTACCATTCCGTGAAGCCCGCTCGGGCACTAATTATAAGATTTCAAATATCGGTTCAGCATCCCTTTAAACGACACAGGGCTTTGAGAATCGTTGCAACATCAATCTCACCCAATATTTTTGCTGCAGCACCAGTGTGTTTATCTGCTGTGTAGTAAGCAATTCAACGAAAATGTGTCACGTTGCGTGCGAGAGGGAAGGCATGGAATAGTAAAACATCGTTCATACACTTGCAACCGAGTATGACTGAGAAAGACAGACCGGTTTCTAAGCCTTTTCTGACGTCTTTGGACCAGCTCCGCAGCAGCGCATCCGGTCCTAAGATGTCGCAAGAGACTTAAAAACCGGTCTCGTCTCTCTCGGTCATACTTGGTTACAAGTGTGTGAACGAGCCTAAAGGAGTCTTCTCTCAACATTACAAAGCCACGAAAAAGTAAGAGGGAGTGATCACAATTGCAACGAAACTCTGCCCACTAGACAGCATTCTATCTGGTTGGTAAAGAAACATCTGATCCGTGGGTTTTGTGGTCCTTGTGGTGCACCTGGTCATTCTTAGTCGACAAAATGAGTATACCCTTCGAACTATCTTCTCCCCCTCCTTCAAAGGACGAGCCCTTGTTCACAAAGAACCAATGGAGTTTCGACGGCTGCTAAAAGGACATGACAGTCATTCGTACGATTAGGAGACGACGCAGCGTTTATGTGTACCCCTGTCATTTAATCGGAGCTCGGCGCCAGGGCATCACTGTACCCCGTTTGTGGAGCAGACGTACTTGCTCCTCATAGAACCTACCTTGTTCGGTGGCTGCCTGTGAGGTTTTTTCAGGCCCGTAAAAAACCATAGAATTCCTTAGATTGCCCAGCATAAAATACTGGAGGAACTACAGTACCTGTTGCACTACAATGATATGCTGAATTTCATTTTCAATAGAACGCTGCAAAATTTGTCATAAACGTGCTTTCGTAATATATTTTATTCAAATTTACTGTCTAGATCTAAGAAATCAATTTTTCTAAGAACTCCTTTATGAAGCTAGGTGTTCTAATCACTGAAGAGTTTAAATGTGGTTTGCAGGTACACGTGCGTCTGTTGTCAAGGTAGACAAGCGACTACGAAGCATCAAGCCTCCCCACTGTATAACAAGGCTGCCTCGTTCCATTGAGGAGCGTGGCTTCTGGAAGGCGTCAGAGTGGAAGCAGTGGCTCCTTTTTTATGCACTGCCATGCTTGCTGGATGTCCTTCCCCAACTCTACTGGAAGCACCTCTCCAAGCTCTGTGAGGCTGTACACATTTTGCTGCATGACAGCCTTACGCTCCGTGACATCAAGCGTGCAGGTGAGCTCCCAAAAACAAGCATTTAGTTGAAGCCTTGCCATCTAGCCAACACTTCTAAACAGCTTTATTTTCGAGGGCTTTGTTTCACAAATTTTGCAAAGTGTAGGTTTCTGGAAAAATTGTGCAGGCAGAAAATTTTGTATTGATGGGGAAAGGGAGGGGGGTGATGTATGTATACATGCAATAAATTTTTTTGTCATACTTTTCAAATCTTGAGATTTCAGAACATTAGGTTTCCTCAAAAATTATTACGTTCACAGTATTTGAAACTATGTAAGACAACCTCCTCACACCATCTCCAAGCATGCCATGAGCAACACAAATTTTATAGGACTCTTGATACAGATTGTTAGTATGCTCGACGGGGCGCCGCAAACCCCAAAACAGCACTCATAAAGAGATATCCGAAACGGATGGCCATATTTTTGTAAAATAAGGATGCGATTGAGTGAGAATTGCGACATCTTGTTTCCTGCAGAACAGTTAAGGAGGAGGGGAAACGGCCTCGCTTCCTTCCCTCTTTGTGTCCTCGTGGAGTCAAACCGAAGAGAGGAGGTAACAAGAATCGCAACGTCGTGGGCATTTTTGGCCTTGTTCAAGCGAGCTCTTCTTTCGCAAAAATACGACCATCCATTGCAGATAATGATTTATGGGTGACGCTTTCGGGTTTGTAGCTTCCCGCCTAGTGCTTCTGCATTGTTTTCTGAAATCAAAATTTCGCTTCTGCATCCCTTTAACGTTGAAAGTGCTCATCACATCCTATCTTACTGATAGCATCATTTTGGTGGACTTTCCGCTTTTTGCGATGCACAGTTTGTTCATCATGTGGGCCGAAAAACTGGCTTTCATTTTTTCTTTCCTTTAAACCCTGTATTTGGTTTGTTAGAACATTTTTGTACTTTTCTTGAAGCTTAGGTAGAACATACATATCCTTCTAGTGCATTTCTGTTCCAAATTTGAAGGGCATTTTATATCATTGAAGCAAACATTGTTCAAACATACAAAGCACCTCTCATGAGGGGTACTTTCTCTAATTTGTGGAAGTCTTCTATAGTTGTGCCCATATTCGAGGCTGGTGATCTGTCATTATTAGTGACTATCGTCCCGTTTTGTTATTGTGTGGTTTCCCGAAGGTTTTCGAAATGGTTATGCATAACTGGATCTCAAATTACCTCAGTAAAAATATTTAGTCTTTTTCAGCATGGTTTTTAAAAGGGAAAGTCCGTTGAAAGAGATTTGTGCTCTTTTCTAGATTTCTTTGTGCCGATAGTCACAGAGGCGAAATTGATGCTGTATATTTTGACATGTCAAAGGCTTTTGACTGTGTAGATCATACTTTACTCCTTTGCAAACTTTCTTTTTATGTCATGTGCCCAAAGCTTTGTGAATGGTTCAGGAGCTACCTGAGTTTACATAGTAATACTGTTTATGTTGGCAACTTTTTGGAAGTGTTTTAGATCAACTTCTGGCGTACACCAAGGTTCAAACCTGGGACCACTGTTGTTTATTTTGTTTGTAAACAATACAGTATCATGCGTCAAGCACTCAAATGTACTTCTTTTTGCTGATGACATGAAACTCTTTTTAAATGTTAAAGACCATATTGATTGTACTTTATTGCAAACTGATATTGGTGCAATTTCAGAGTGGTGTAGAAAAAAAGCCTTGTCGTTCAATCTTAAAAGCTAAATTGATTTCTTTATAGAGAAAGTGGGAAGTTTTCTTTTACCCTTATGTGCTTGAGGGAAATGTGGTAGATGCTGTATCTCTAGTAAGAGACCTTGGCGTCTATATTGACAAATTCACTGCACACGTTTCTAAGATCCTTGGATTAGAGATAAGAAGTTGGAAATGATCACTTTGGTTATCAAGTTCTTTCACTTCACCAATATCTGTAGTGTGTCTGTTCTGTAGCCTTGTACGCTCAGTACTTGAATTGGGTTCAATTAGTTGTTAATACAAGTTAAAATGATTGAGCGTGTGCAGAAGTTTATGTGGTTTTTGGTCTGTTGTGGTTTTTGGGGTCAATAAATGTGCTTTGTGTAAAGATCACCATGTCATTGGTTCCATTAATGCAAATAAATAAATCACTTAGTCTCATACAGATCCTTGTGGTACTCAACCGTGAGATGGGTGGAAAGCGATAATAACAATCAATCTGGAAAGCAGCTTGGTTTTTCTACTGCCGGCGATGGGAAGGTCACGTGTGAAGTTTTGGAGTTGCAACCGGGTTTCACTCGCCACTGAGGGAGAGCTGTGCACGCATTTATTGTTTTAAATAGTGAATTTCTGATCGTGTACTTTGTCAATCAATACTTATAGGAGGAATCAGCCGTATATACATTTGGTTGTCGACCTAAATTCATATTTGATCGTTTAATGTGTATAAGTGGCATAATAAAAGGTTTTGTCATTTAAACAATACACCTTTTCTTCATTTTGCAGTCGGTGCTTGTTTTTTTTTAATGTCAGGTGAACCATATTGCTTTACAACAAAGGCATATACCCCCCGCCCCCCGGCACCCTAAAAATGCAGTGTGAGATCTATAACTAAAATTTCACCATATTTCAAACACTAGGTTTCTGCTTCACATATTTTGTTCCTCTATTAAAACTACCTTGCTTTTCATTCAGACTCTTAAACGGCTTGATGTCGGTATAGGTCATAACTATTATGGCCTCGTCCCACTAGAGCACGAACCAAAACACTTCTCAGAGACACGGAAAGTGCAGCTTGTTAGCAGTCATTATTCCGTTTCAATATAGTCACCAAATGGCAAAACAGCTTGCGTCACTTAAGAAGACACGCGCAAGGTTACAAATGGATATATTTTGTTTTGTTGGCCGACAGTGGGACTGCCAGCTAGGCAGCTCTGTTTTAGTGATAAGTAAGCTGGCGTGAAGAGCAGTTTAACTGGCTTGACGTACCCCACTGGCTCGCAGGAAGACCAATTTAACCAGCCGACCCATTGGCTCCTAGGAGGACTAGTTTAACCACCTTGACCACATTGCCTCCCAGTAAGACCAGTTTAACCACCTTGACCACATTGGCTCCCAGCTGAAAATCAGCTTGACCACATTGCCTCCCAGGAAGACCAGTTTAACCACCTTGACCACATTGGCTCCCAGCTGAAAACCAGCTTGACCACATTGGTTCCCAATTCAACCAGCTTGACCACACTGGCTCCCAGCTGAAAACCGGCTTGACCACATTGCCTCCCAGGAAGACCAGTTTAACCACCTTGACCACATTGGCTCCCAGCTGAAAACCAGCTTGACCACATTGGTTCCCAATTCAACCAGCTTGACCACACTGGCTCCCAGCTGAAAACCGGCTTGACCACATTGGCTTCCAGGAAAACCAGCTTGACCACATTGGCTCCCTGCTGAAAACCAGCTTGACCACATTGGCTCCCAGGAAAACCAGCTTGACCACCTTGGCTCGCAGGAACACCAGCTTAACCAGTTAGGACCAGACTGGCTCCCAGCTACACCAGATTGAATCTAAAACCAGATTCCAGTTGGACGATGCTGGTTTTTACTTAGACCAGACTGACCAGCTTAAATTCCAGCTTGCCCAGCTTAAACCAGCTTGATTGCCAGCTAAACCAGTTTAATTACCACATTGACCAGTTTGACCACCTTGATTACCAGCTTGACCACCTTAATTACCAGCTTGACCAGTTAGATTTTCATGCTGGTTTTTCCAATAGGGTGGTTCATCATATAAAGTTATAAACCAACCATTTGTGTTTAATTAAAATGCATCACTGACCTAAAAAAAATACTGCTATCCTAGAGTTTATGCTATAGGAATGTAGCGCTTCAGATAAATTTGTTAATTTTTACTTTTAGTCCCTGCCCCCTCCAGATACAACATCTGGCCTAAAGCAGTGTTCCGGATCTCCTTCCAAGACCTCAGGCGGGTCGTCATTCAATCCATGAGTCGGCGGCGTCTCATGGGCGTGTTGCTGGTGCTTACTGGATGGTGCTACCGAGGGAAAAGTGGTCGTGCTTGGGAAAGGCAAGTATGGCCGCCGTAAGTATAGATATTGTTTTTACCTTTGCTCGAATCCACTTTTAAGAAATGTACAGTTCGCATGTGTGCATCTCTCAATGTTTCCACAGTCGGCTGTTTTTTTTTTTTTTTTTTTGGGTGCTCCAACTCTGTCAGCGCTAGTTTCTCTAGATCATGCAAATGGATGCAACACTAAACCACATATGCTCTCGCAACAAACAGTGCTGTGCAGAAGCACAGTGGAATTTACTCTAGCTTTATAATGCAGCACAAAATGGTTGACTCCAAGTATAGCTACTTTTGTGACTCCGTTTAACCAAAAGCTCTGCCGAAACAAACTTGCCGCCTTATAGGTAGTGCAAAAGAACCTCGCGTGCCTGACCTGGAGAAGGGCATTTTTTTTCATAGGTCAATTTTTCCTTAAACCAATACCTTCAGCCTCCTTGAAATGTTAACATTATGTGACACACGGAAGAACAGTAAACTCTTTAATGTTGGCGAACCTTTAATTTTCACGGCCTTTAATTTTGCAGAATTCAGTGGCTGCGATTATGTCCTCTGTGACCGATTCGAGAAGAAATAGGGGCCACGAAGATAAGGGGGTTTTACTGTACATCGGAGGAAAGAGGAAGTCACTTATGTTTGTATGCAGGAGTAAAACCAACAACAACAATCATGGTGTTGACACTTTGTAAGCCTATCTGTGTCTATTGAATGATATCAATTTTGTTTTAGTTCGTTAAACATTGTTGCCTGTACATTGTGGGATGTCGTCTTCAACACGAGCAGTGGTTTTCTTCTCAAGCAGGCAGCATGGACGCGTGCCGCAGCACAACATAGTTCATTTGCAGGTGGTACCGCAGGTTGAAGGATGGTTGGCACAATATAGGGGAATCACAATTCAATGTTCTACCTCGGGCGTAGACAAGATTTGCTTATTCTAAATCATTTTGTCTAAAAATCAGGGATTTGCGATGAATGTACCCGCATGGTTGGAAGGGCCAGACAAGCCTTGTGAGCGCTTCATTTTCTAGCGTCTCAGTCCTGAACCCACTCACGCACCACATGTGTAGATGTTCCGATAGGTGGGAGCACTTATTTGGAAAATGGTGAATGGCAACTGTTATCTTTATCAGACTTTTGTATTATGGTCAAAGTTGGACTGCATATTTGCAATACTTTTTCTCACTTAAAAATATGTCATACTAAAATATGTAGAATAGCCGATGACAAAAAGAGAATGGCTGGGCGTCCTCCTGCACGTGCTTGTGCTTTTCACCCCACTTTGGGCAGATGTGCTTGCTCCAGGCTCATGAGGCACTGAAACGTCATCGAAGGTAGCAGACGGGCTGGTGGTGGAACAACGGAGACTTCTCCCTGCCTTTCTCATGCTGTCAGTGAGCGTGTACCTCTATACTCTAACTTAGCTTAACCTGCACAGAGCTGAGGAGAATAGGCTTGGCGAGTGCCCTTACTGCATATGCATTTGTACAGCTGAGGCACTCTCTGAATCAAGAACATTGTGTATCTTACCTTCAAAAACACATCATTTTGGGGGTGCAAAAGGAATTGTAAGGCATATCTTTGTTTGTATTGTCCTATTACGCATCGCAGGCACGTAGCCAGGGGGAGGCTTTTGAGGCCGGGCCCCCCCCTCCCCCCGATATCTTCCATTTTGCATGGGTCCTCCTCTCCCCCCTCCCCCTCATACAGCGTTTTGTTATGAGGGGGCCCCCCCTGAAACAAAATTCTGGCTACGTGCCTGACGCATCGACTCCAACTTAATGCGGAGTTGACCCACCCTGTTGATAAATTTAATGCCTGCCAGGTAATTTGTTTTGCATTCAGTTAATATATCAGTATTCAGTTAGGTATCCCAAGTCATTAGTCATTGAGATGCAGTCTCTCTGCAAGTCAGTCATGTTTAACATTCATAAAACTGCTTGTCAAATAATGGCACTGTCGAGGACATGTACTCGGCTCGAGCGATCGCTGTGCACAAGCTGGTCGTGTGGTTACAGGCAGCAAACATCCCAGTTGGAACGTCCTACCTCGCAATGTAGCTGAAGACTAGGTCAGGGCCCCACTCACAAACGTCTATACTTTGCATCTCTTTAAGCTGGACCACTTTTGACACTACAAGCCATTGCAGCAAAAA